TATGTAGTCGAATGTAGGCGTGGTCGTAGACGTTTGTGGGAGTGGTCGATATACGAATTTTTGATGCGATTCCACAGTTCGGTGATTTTCGTAATATTGAGTTCGGCTGGAGAAGAACTGTAGACGGACAGGCCAAACGTTATAGTAGATATTACTAGGGTCTTAAATAGATAATCTATCTCACATTGGCTATAGCCTTCTGCCCTGAGTGTTCGTATAACGTACAAGCATTTGTTTGCTTTGACCAATTTACCTCGCACATGACTGGTGAACTTGAGATTGTCTTGAAAAGTAGTATATAGGTTAAAGTTGGGAACACTCATCAAACCTTAATTAAATTGATTGCCAACTCTCATCCACTCTCATTCTCGTTTAACCGGGGGGCTGTAGTAGTATTAATAGCTTTAGAATTTATATCGTATCCTGGGCTGAGACATATATACTAATATTATGTGGTATTTCTATCATATTTTTCAGCTGTTGGATTTGGATGCATCGTTAATCTCTCGACGAGAGTTGCAACCTCAGTAAGTTTGGTTATAAACATCACATATTCCAAATTAAGATTCCAAATTAAGATCGTTAGCGCATATTAATCCCATTTCAACAGTTCCCCTAGACGAGTAAGATTTTCCGGTGTATATAAACAGAGGAAGTTTTCAAGAAGAACGTCGTGGTTTATTCAACTTGGCGGACAATTTCCATCATACCACTAGTACCACTACCGCTCTATACTGTACAGGATGTTTAAAAAAAAACGCTATGGAAATTCAACAGGCTGTCGTGCATCATAAACGTAGCTAAACAATTCAATTCTTACATAGCACGAAAGAACAGTTATTTAGCTTTTCAATGATACTCTTTTTAAATCGTAACGATGAGAAATGGCCACATACTCGTCAAATAAAAATTGCCGGTCGAAATCACATTCTTCCACCGTTGGGAATTGCATGGAAAACGAAAGGTAAACAATTCCCAAGAGAGAATTAAACTTGAATGTTAAATTATATAAAATAAGCTCAACTCGTCAATCTTCGTCTTAGTGAGACCATAAGAACGTCCATTATTGCATTAAACATGGTTCAATTAACCCCTGAACAGAGAACATTTGCAATCAAAACGTTTTACGAAACAAGTACCTTGCAGCAGACTCGCGGCGCTTTTAGATTGATTAACTTTGCACAATTAATGTATTTTTAATTCACAACGGTGGAAGAATGTGATTTCGACCGAAAATTATTTGACGAGTATGTAGCCATTTCCCATCGTTACGGTTTAAGAAATATATCATAGAAAAGCTGAATAAGAGCTCTTTCGTCCTATGTAAAAATTGAATTGTTTAGTTATAAGTTTGTGATGCACAACAGCCTGACAGTGTTGAATTTTCATAGTGTTTTTTTTAGACACCCTGTATATACGCATGTGATTGGTTAATCGGGTAGATTAAACGCTTCTGATTGGTTAATAGTAGCGGTAGTGGTAGTGAAAGTCAAATGTAAACCTCACCATTATCTGACTAACGTCACACATGTCAGTTTTACTCAAGGGCTGATTACATGGACCAAGTTGTCCCGGAAATACTAATAAAAACTATTAAAAACAATGATGCGATCACATGGGACGCGGGCCAACTCACCTAGCCTGGACCTCACTTGCTGACAACCGAGACAACTCGGTTAGCCGAGTTGAAAATTGCGCATTATTAGCAGTGATGAAGATCCGGGCTTACGGATCGAAAGCTTTGCAGTAATAAATTTACGTGGTGTTTCCACAAACTAAAGTATTATATGTTTTATCGCCATGCAAACTTACAAAGAACTTATTTTTATAATTACAACTGTTCTTTTATATTCTAATTTAGAAACTTCGTGGTCAAACTGAATCTTTGTATCTTCTAACAAGATGTAATCACACAAGATTTGAATTTATCTTTACTAATCTGGTAAGAACTATACATATTGTAGATTTGATAGGCATTGATCCAAGTTATTTCAAGAGTTATTTCAATTTACGAATTGACTGACAGCATCAGTGACTGGTGATCAGTCCTGGAAAAATTAAATTCTGCTGATATTCCATGATAACTATATATAGATAAGGGCGACAAACGAAACATAATTACTGTACGTGATCGAGTCAGTGTAAATGACCTTATTTATGTACACTGTTTAATATTAAGTTGTATAATTATAATTAAACTTCACCAATTTCAATACCAAAACCATAGTTAATGTTAGATATGCCAAAACCGAGGATGCTTAATTTTGCTTGAAAAAACGTCTTGTTTTCGCGCAAAACATTGAGGAATGCGACTACATTCGTGAAATCGTCGTCGTGAAAAATTCGACATCTGATTGCTCCGCGAGAATTTACGCTGAGATGGCTAATAATAATTTGACATTTGAGGCGTAGGGATGTATTTGCATTCCTAAATTTTTTTGCACTAAAACGCGGCACATTTTGTTCAGGAAGCTTGACATTTTGGTAATAATTTTTCCACCCCTTGGCCGGTTGTATAAATCTCTTAACTATATTTTAACCACTATCTTATATAGTTAAATAGCGCTGGTAATTCTAAAATACGCTATTTTGATTCAGGTAATTGACAGGATAGTAAACCTTAACTACCTTTTTCTACAACCGGCCTCTGGACAACATTTAAAACATCTATGTCTTGATTGATCTCCCAAGGGTAGCTTTATAAGACCAACCCAATTCTCTCATAAATTTGCCGTCACCAAAACCCAGTCAAAAATACAGCAAATCCAAGATGGAGCCGACGAAAAGCTCTTTGCTTTCAAATATCAAGAACTATAAGCAACATATAGAAAATCTCTATTGTAAACTGTCTTGTTTTATATGCAGTATAATGTAAATTTAACAGTTATTTCAAGTAAGGAAAACAAAGTTCCCATTTGCAATATCTTGCTTTTTGTATTAAAGTTTGTCTATAAATCTTCATTTCAATTAATGAATAGGTGTCAGGCAGCCCACGATTGTTTTCAACTGTGATGTCTGTCTACAGGTCAGTATGTTATTTCAATACTTTATATCCTATTAAAAAGACCCTGGCCAGCTGGAGCATGCATGGAAATTGTGAAAACTGCTGTATAGTATAAATGTCGGTTTGAAACTACTAGTAAAAATAATCGAATAATTACTCGCTGTGGCACTTGCGCCCAGGCGAGTATAGGTTTCTGTACGCATTTTTGGTGGATGTCAGATGTCGAATTTCCGATCGTCGTCGAAGCCACAAAATAGAATATTAATGAGCTGCCAATTTTTGCCCAAATTATCCATGAGGCTCCTGCCAAATTTTACCCAAATTATCCATAAATAACCCTACGTTTTGAGGAAAATTCAAGAATTTTACTTAAAAAGGGAAAGCTACTGTTTATTTTAACCAGCACGTTCTTTTAAAACTGCTTTTTTACGGCATTGTGAATTCCACGAAATTCAACGGCAAGAATAATGAATTTAAAGTTGCATCAATGCCAAATTAATACAAAGACAGCGATGCACAAAACAATTGTATGAAATATAAACATCTCGAACAGTCGAACATGAGGCCTAAAAAATACCTGTGGTTCCGGTTCCCGACCGACCCTATCTTTTTCTGCCGACCCTATTATTTTTTCAACGCGATTGACCGTGCGACCCTATTTTCTCCGGGTGGTTGCGGGCTGCTGCCAAAATGGCGTCTGTTGCCACACTAATTATTGAAAAAACCATGAAAAAATATTCAAAAAAAATTATTTTCGACCTACCGACCCTAATTTTTTCGCGATATGAAACCGGAACCACAGGTATTTTTTTAGGCCGGATATAAACTCAAACGGTCTGGACCAGCGTACGTAGTGAGAATATAAACACCAGAAAGCTTCAAAGCTGCGAATTGAAAGGAATTCAACTACCTGAAAAATACAACTAAAACATCGACCTTTCGAGCGTAGGCCCTTCGTCGGGACGTTAGTGAACTGGTGAACTGAGAGTACAGTATATTAACCGTATCTGCATGCTAACTATGTATTTGTAAGAACAGAGTAAAGATTTTGCAACAAGGGACAGGTGACAACTCTTCAATTGACCATATGATTGTACTACCGTATCACTATAGCCCCAGCGAGTTAACGCTCTTTTGAGCGTCTTGTTTTGTTTTGATCCGGAGATGAATAATCCAATCTGGAGCTAAGCAACCATTTAAATTGCGCAAAAAGTACTATCCACTTTCCCAGTATATGCTAATATCAAAGATGCTGATAATCCAGTGGCCCATCAAATAAAACGGCATATTACAAGACTCGAACCTCAGTCGTAGAGGTGAAAACTCATACACACTAACCATGCACTGTTCTACTTTCACTCCGCAACTAACTCATGCCTAACTTTCAACTATCTATTTGTTTCCACTCAGGGCCTATGAATCGTCGAAACTTTATCGTGACTTGAAACTACGTGGTGCTTTGATTGAAAACAAACAGCTCCGCATTCTTCCTCTGGAACAGGTCTATGACAAGGTAGAGTAGATTTAGAACTGAGGCCGGTTCTACTATGGTTGTACGAAGGCCGCTTACCGCTATCCAATGGAAAGTTGTTTTTTTAAGCTTTCTACACTCTAAAATCATTCCGGTTAAAATTTCCTGGTTCTTGGGTTAACCTAATATTAATGGTTACATTTTTTGGTTATTTTATTTCACTTCCTGCCATAATCCGATTAATGTAAAAGAAATATTGTTATATTTGACCCATATGGCCGAATTTTGGGAGGTATCGGGAAGTGAGCACCTCCCCTCACTCGATAAAGATCGTCGTTTTAACCGCTTTTAAATGCAACAGGTCCAAATAATGGGTCATCGAGACAGGAAGACACGACTTAAAACACAAAAGCGTAAATATTTACACAATAATTGCAGAATATGCAGCGTACACTTGAGGAAATGACGCTGACGTGATGTTCGCAGCAAGTGTCACACACGTCATCTTAAGGAAAGGTGTACAGTGAGGCTTCTGGTATATTTTCTATTCTGTGATCTCACCAACAAGTGGCGATAAATTAAAACCACCATTTTTTTAAATTTGAACTAAGTAAAAAATAAACCACTCTGAATGCGCTTTCTTCCTCCCATTGCTCCAAAGAGCGAAAGGAACGGTCATCAATAATTACTAACGTCACTATAAAAGCAACCTTAGTAATCTGCTTCCCGCTCAGAAGAAAGCACTACCACTCATCATCGTGGTTGTGAATGTTGTCTATGTTAGAGAACAAAGACGGGACACGTACTATAGAAATGATCCTAAAAAGTACGGTCTTAAAAATAATGTTGCAAATTGGAGTATTTAAGTTTAAAACTTGAGCCTACCGCATGTGGGACGTGATACCAATAACAATTGTATCGTCTAACACGAGGTCTAGTGCATAAGCAGAATTAGCAAGTACTAAAAATATGTATAAAATCTAAGTAAAATATTTGTTTATGAAATATGGCAGTAAGAATTGTTAAAAGTATTTATTAACTATGGAAAATGTTTGTCAAACATACTACGCATGCGCACTTTGTATACCCAAATTGTGATGCATTATAGCCAACCCTGGACAGCAGCAATTGTACCACTGTTCACAAACTTTGAAAAAAATGTCCACTGCTGTACTAAATAATTATGTAGTGTTGAAATATTTCAAATTCCTTCAGTTTCGTGTCATGTACAAATCTCACCAACAAGTAGCGATAAATTAAACATGAAGAAGTTTTCTTTGGTAGGGATGCAACTACCTGAAAAACATAAGGAGAATTTCGACTTTTCGAGCGAAGGGAGTTGGATTCTTTTTAAAGCTTTCTACACTCTGAAAACACTCGGGTTAAAATTTCCTGGTTTAGGGACCGGTCATTATTTATGGCGGGGGGTGGCACCGAAGAGAAAAGGGTTGGGTAAACAAAATTTTGAGTGATTAAAAGGTTGGGTAAATGAAAAACAAAACAACTCAAGGGTTGGGTAATAAAAATTTATTGTCATTTCCAAAGCATGAGTGCATGACTCACTAAAATACTCACTAAAAAGCAATGTCAACAGTCATATGTCAATACAATATGTGAATCAATCAGAGTCACTATCTTGATCACTGTTTTCCGATTTGTTGGGAGACAAATAGTGCATGTCTCAAAGAAAGTACATGTGCAGACAACATGAAACTTTAGACTGCAGAAAATTTCCCAATCCGTTATCAAACTCATGTCACAGAAGTGGTAAAGGACACGTGTGACAACTGAATGGGTATCATTTTGGAACGTTTTTGGCCAGGGGTGGTTATTTATTTTTTTAATTGATATTTAAGGTTGGTTAACCATTTTTTTTTACTTTTTAATGGTTGGGTCAGCAAAATTTTGGCCACGAAAATCTTTTCTCTTTGGTTCCACCCACACCATAAATAATGACCGGTCCCTAACCTAGAAATAACACTTCTTGGGTTAACTTAATATTCTATTTTAAACTAAATATTAAATTTTTTGGTTATTTTATCTCACTTCCTACCATAATCCGGTTATGTAAAAGAAATATTGTTATATCTGACCCATATGGCCGGATTTTGGGGGAGGTGTCGGGTGGTGAACACCTCCCCTCATATCGTTTTGCACCTCCCCTGGGATTTTTTGCACCTCCCCTAAAAGGTCCTGGACCTCCCCTTCGAAAACGTTAAATGGTGAAAATTAGACAAAATTTTATGTGTTTACTTTGCAAGAACGTTTTTCTGTAATTACATGCATGATACACAAATTTCGCGGTAATGTAATGAAGGGCAAAATTGGATAAGTCATAATTCATAAAAACACTGATACATACAGTATGTATTGTAGTACATTGCATACTTCACCTAACTTTCAATCATATGGTGGCTGTGAACAAGACTGCACCACCTCCACCAACATTTCCACCAAAATCCGGCCTTGATTTCTCCGGGACATCCTTATTAATAACCAGACAATGTTAAGTGGATAAATAAGCAGGGGCGCTTCGTTAGTTATCCCCCTGATATAGTCTGGTTAATTTAACCATGCAGGAAGTCCTGGTCAAATTAGCTAGACTATGTAGTGGGAAAAAGATTAAGTTTACCGGGAAAGTTAACCAGGAATGTTCAGTTAAACCAAATAGAGGTATTTCTAGGTTAAGCAGGAAAATTTTAACCAGATTGTTTTGGAGTGTAAAATTGGGCAAGATGTTTACAGTGGAAGGCAATCCATCGGGGCAACGTGTAGCCACAATGGTTGATGTAGTATTGCAAATAACCTTAGTTTGCAGATAGGCAGCTTCGACCTGCACATGTACTTGTTCGGACGGGCAACCAAGGAAATTTTGTTTGTGATAACCGTAAAGGCACAGTATCACCTGCTAAGCGATGTGATTGTAGGTCCTCGCGACGGTATGACATTATTGTAATTTGATATTATTGATTATGTTTGGAAACGAAGGTTCAGATTATTTTAAAAGTTGTCGGAATTGAAGATTCGGTATTGCGCAGACCCATAATTTATTATATAATAAGCGACATAATATCGCCACTCCTTTTGCACAAATGCGAAAAAACCTTGAAAATGTTTGCGAACTCTTTCAAGCTTCATGCGGACTGAATCACATCGCTGAGTTGGTGACACTGTGCCTACCACATAGAAAAATTTAAAAATTGTTCTAACTGGCGAAAGTTGTTTCCCTTTACTGGCAACGAATATGCTTTTTTTCTGTGCTTCCAGGTGTGCTTTGATATTTTTCTACTAATAAAAATTGATTTTTTTTAGATAAATGGTGTTTGGAATTTATCGAGTGACCAGGTTAGTGTCATACATCAAGAACTGAATATTTATTATATATTATTATATATAATATAGTGTCATAATTGTAAAGATTTGATAACTAAATGTAGATGCCAATATGGGATTTTTGCCAATTCAGGGTAATCTTGGAACATTTTACATAACGAACGTTCGCTTGGTCTGGCACGCAAACATGAACGACAGTTTTAATGTGAGCATTCCTTATCTGCAAATGGTAAGTTTCACAAGCATGAATATCTTGCTCGTGCATTAAATAAATAATTTACTTGATTTTAGTTTATCATTTTGTTACCCATTACAGTAGGGACCTCAAAAATATCACTCGATAAACGGGCAAGCCGACAGTAAAATAATACATCCAAGCACTTTTCTAGTCTTTCTACTGTCGGTGTACCGTAGTAAAAACTCAACATCTTCAATCTTTCTCCATAATTATATATCACACTGTGTTTAATTTGAAGAAATTGTGTCCAATGTGAATAATTAACTGTAAAAGGAAGAAACTACTTGATCTTTGTATATTCTTCAACAAATCATTAAAAACCTATTTTAAAACGGTTGTATTTTTGCTCAGAAGTACTGGGAAATGTCATTTCTTGGAGACAAATCAAGAATTTTCCAGGGGGTGGGGATTTTGGTGGAACTTGGGGAGTGTTCTCCTTCTAGAACTCAATCTTCTTCCAAAGAAATGGTAGTAAACTTAAATGTTAGGATTATTGTGGCCATCTCACTTGATTGAACTGATGTTGAAAGGTTTTGTAGATGGATATGTCGAATGTAAATTTTATACAGTTATTTAGACCTAACCAGGGGCAGTTGCGAGAAAAATAGAGGTGAGCCGATGTTTAAAAAAAGCCGATTGGCGATACCGATTGTTAAGAGCCGATATTTACCGACCATCGGCCGATTAATCGGCAAAACCGATGGTTGCTTATTATTACTAAAACTGCTGATGCACGTGACTTAAAGGAACGCGACGGCAAACTTATTCTCCCGTAAAAACATGCAGGAACACAGCAACATTTCTCAGCATTGTGAAATCAACATCGTGTTACTGGTGAGATCTGATTGGTCCACGGAGTCACGGACCACGATAAAAAATTGCAAACTTACGAATTGCGAAAGCCACTTTCGATCAGTGTTTTCACACCAAATATTTACAATTTCAATATTTTTGACTAACACCGCTGACCATTCCGATGGTGAAAGACAATCGGCCGATGGCCGATTGTGAAAAAACAAGCCGATTAATCGGGTTTGCCGATATTTTGCCGATGATCGGCTCACCTCTAGAGAAAAATGCAACTATAGGCTCTCTGGCAGGAACGGAAATGTATAAAAATTTATACGCGAAATTTCCGTCTACAGTACCCTTCAACATCAGTTCAATCGAGTGAGATGGCCACAATAATCCTAATATTTTCCCTTATCAAGATTTTGTTGGCATCTCGGTTGGTTAGAGCGCTGCTCTGGAATCGCAGGGCCGAAGGTTCGATTCCTGCCAGGGACCTATAGTTACATTTTTCGCAGCTCTTCCTGGTTAGGTCTATAAACGTATATAGAATTTCCACTCGATATAATGTTTAATTCTTTCAGAAATCCGTTCGTATTCGAGACTCGAAATTTGGGCTGGCGTTAGTCCTGGAGACGTCACAACAGGTATGTTGCATTTGTTGATCATTTTTGCGAGTGGAAGCATTTGTTTATAGTTTTCACCTCGCTGCTTTTGGGGGTTATCGATTCATGTCTAGGATTAGCGTATAATTATGATTAGGGTTAGGATTAAGGTATGAATAGGGAGAGGATTATAGTGTGATTAAGGAGATTAGGGTTGGAATAGCGTTTCGATAGGGAAATGGTTAAGACTAAGATTACGGTATATTTAGGGTTAGGATTAATGATAGAATTACTAAGGTATGATTCCCTGGGTTAGGAATCCATATATAACAGCGAAACAAAAGGACATTAATCTTTTGGGCGTTTTCATATCATATTGGGTCCGTAAAAGACCGTGCGGGTTAGGGTCAATGTGTAGTAGGGACTTGCTGCTATATTTGGCTCAAACTATTTTGCAACAACACTCGCTGTCTTATATTTTATTTAACCCCATATTTTATTTCTTATTTTAAACATTTTGAGAAATAATCGTACAGAGCTGAGTATTAAAAAGATCTATAGCACCGAAATAGTCCCGTGGTATAAGATTGCAATGTCTGTGCATTAAAGCATTACACAACATACGCACACCTTCATCACCAATGTCATTTGAACTAAAATCTTAGGTTACTACAAAGTTCACTATTAAAAACTTCACAGAGTTGGGATATTCCACTTGAACTTATTCTGTAACACGCGAAGATGTCAGTCTTTAATATGTGCACATAAGATTGGTCAACCTGACTAAACTTCCTGTGTTCGTGGTTCAGTGTACATTTTGATTTCATCAATGCAGTAATTAGATGTCCCGTTGCCAAATTATTACCAAAACTTTTGTTGATCACCACAAACCGTTCTAAGCATCGTTGTAGCAATTTACCACTTCCAGAACACAATTATTGCCACTCATTGCAGTAACCAATTGTAATTTTAATAAATTATATTGTTCAAATGTTTGCGAACGAAAGTCATTGCCGCCCAGTCACTTGTGGAAAGTTGTTTGCTAATTGTATTGATACCGTGATGTCGGTCTAATTCTGGTAACATGATTTAAACATGGCAGTTCACATGCTTTTTTAGCAATCTCTTCGTCATCTACTTCTTTTAAACATTTCAATACAAGCACGTGACCAGAATCGTTAAGGTCAATCTCAAAGTCACCATGACCTACGGTTAAGCTTTTTGCAAATGCAAAAACACAATCATGGTAATCACTGTCGAACATCTTTATTTTCTCGCCTAAAAGCCCAGCAATAAACTGAAGTACTAAATGCCATCTACCACTTTTAATATGAGTGGAAATGAACTTCTCTATCTCGTTCGGTGCTAAAGTCTCAGTCACGTGCCTTGCAGCAAGATATTCTTGCATACTTAAGTGTATAAAGCAAAACTGTGTTTGAACTGGAAAGATAGGATTAGATAAACTGTTCACCAAACCAGAGTTTCTCATTTGTTCATCGAGTAAGTGTTTATCGAAAACCAATTGCCCGTTTTCCATGCCATGGAACGCTAATTTCGCAAGACTTTCTACCGTTTGTTTAGAAGACTGGTCGCCTAATTTTCGGTTGCGATGTGTCACAAAGTGATCTATGGCCGTCTTGTAAAGGTCGGTCAATGTTGTTGGAAGTTCACCGCCACCAGTGTCATTTTTAGGATCACAGAGACATCCAGACAGGGTAGTGCATACTATGAAACTGTTTACAGGAATGTAACATAAATTCAACACGTCTGTAGAGGAGTTTATGTGATTCCATATCTTAGGTTTTAAGTCACTTCTGTTAATGTTCTCACAAAATGTGCTGACATACTCTTCGATTTTATCGGAAGTGAAACCAATAATCTCCACACTTCTATCGAAATTAAGCCTTGAGTAAAAGTCATCTGCGGTTGGTCTGCTCGTTACTAGAATCGCTGATCCTTGCAACAAGTCACCAAAAGCCAGTTTAATGAAAAAGTTCATTGCAGACGTGGAAATGTTACAATCGTTTAGAAGTCCTTGTGACTCTTGTAGATAGTTCGTTAGGTCGCCATCGAACTCATCCAAACCATCGAAAATAAAAATTGCTTTCTTGGGTTCTTTTAACACCTCTTCAAAAATACTTTGAATTTTTTCTTCACTAAGTTTTGTTCCATAACGAAGAAACGTCTTAAGGGATACTTTTTTTAACTCATCAATTTTATTGAACCATCTAATTTTGAACAAGAAGACAATCTTACCACAATAGAAATCATCGATTCCTCTTGCCCAATCACGGATAAGTTTTTCTGTCAACACAGTTTTACCTATTCCAGGTCGACCAACTGCCAGTATGGTGCGAGGAAACTTGTCTTTCGTATCTTTATTGGGATAAAATAAATCTTTAATCTCTCTCAGACGTATGGAGTCCTCAGGAACCTTCATATAAACATTAAATATCTCATGTCTGTTCATTTCTTTTGAAAACAAGTGTAGAGCACGTCCAGTGTGGATAATGACGTCAATATACAAATGATCTAGGTTTACTTCAGACGTTGGATAAAATATGTCAGATGTACGAAGAGAATTCAAAAGTTGTTGTTTGTAAAATTGTATACAATTTGCAATGTTGTCATTGATGCTGAGTAGTTCATGTTTACCTCTCGTATATCGCTTGCGAAGAAGATACACAGTGATAAACTCAGTATCAGAGCTCCAGCCAACTCCGGGACGACACTGGAGGATTGGAAACCGTCGCCAAAGATAAATCACTTCCCCGAATATTATCAAAGCAAACACAGTATTTAATACAGACACAATTACGGCCCATACCTGTTTTTCTGATGCAGTCGTATTCTCGCATGTCATTGAAGTAGTATTTACCAGACCAATATTCGCATTCTGTTCCATTTTGGACGTTATATCAATTGTAGGTAGTCTGCAACTAAAACTTGAATCAAATCCACTGGGATACAATACTGTATGTTGCAGAACAGTAAATAGAATTCCAAATAGCGAACGGGCAACAAGATGAAAAAAATAGAATGAGAAAACATAAAATCCATCATCACTTGTTTGATCTCCATCGGTTGTTGGCTCATCACTTCCATTCGAGGTTCTGTCAATTGCGTCGACACGTCGGCTAACTGCGAGTGAATAAATAACACTGACAAGAACTGTGATGCCAATACTCAGTAAAACAAAGCCATACAAAGGCAGAGGGGAGTTATAAGCCTGTTCGTATCTTGAATAACAAGTCTTCTCGATGTACGTTTTGTATGCGGCTGTAGTTTTCTTGTCAATCGTACAAGTAAATTTTCCGATCTCGCTCGCTCGAAGAGCCGAGGTTACACTTGTCAATGTCATTCCACAAAGAAAATGCACTATCAGACATATGTAAGCTACCACGCCGAATCTCTTGGGCACTAAGTAATCCTTTACACTGTCTATCATTTTCCTGCTTATATACCACGAAATATATCTGAAGTAAGTCTGCTTTTCTTATTATTTTCCAAGTTAATGTTTGTTATAGTTCCTGCCCCTCCCAGGATGTCGTCAACTCCCTCTCGAAAGGCAGCCGTGCGAATGAAAGTAAACAATAGTAAGAAATATAGTAAAAAATCAATGATATAATAGCTGCTATTCTAACATTAGAAGGAATGAAAAGTGTGATATATGGTGATGGTTTTTGGGATGTAAAAGATTATAATTATTTAGTATTTTTGCACAAGTGAATATAATTAACAATCCTACAAGTTGATTGGTCAAATTTGACGTAGGCCTATATTCAGCTGTTATATTCACCTACAGGTCAATACCACAAAATTGAAATTTGCAAAATGGCGGCTAGCCGTTTTGTGGAAGTTACTGATAAACAAGTAAGCGAAACTAAAGTATCCCCCCCCCCCCCCCCCCAAAAAAAAAAACACAAAAAAAAAACACAAAAGACTTCTGTAAAATACTATAGCAATTATTCGCCTCAGGCTCGGTGATTTTCGGGGAATATTCACAGAGACTCCCGATAATCATCTCGCCTTTGTTAAGTAGGCTATATATTCAGATGTCGACCACAGCTATAAGCACTGCTGTAGTGTGGTAAATATTTTGGATATCATATATAGCATGATGAGCTCACGTGGCTGAAGTATATTTTGAGTACGAGTCTTTTATTTGGGTAGCGACTTTCATTGTTGCCCTTATACATGCGTTACAAAAGTAAGCTGCTACAAGGGCCAATTTTTGATGACTAATACATGGTAGTTCATCAGACTTAATCGCCACATATAAAATTGACATTGAAGCATCTTTCGAACGATGTCAACCGGATGCAGTATATTGGACTTTATTTTGAAGGGCGGTATAATTAGCTGAAACTATACGAGAGCGCAGTAATATCCAACTTTAAAAGTAAAAGTAAAATTCAAGGATTTTCAGTGTTATGTATCAGAAACGCGGCTGAAAAGAAGTAAAGTGACAAATTCCAAATGGCCACTTTAAATGAATAAACAGCTTTGTATAACGCATGAACAAAATCTATTCAACAGCATATCCGTTTTTTAATGTCAAACATTTCAAAATATCCAAAAATTAAATCTTGAATTATTTAAGGACTTTCAATCAAACAATTCTTTATAAATTCAAGGACTTTTCAAGGCCTTCAATTTTTGTTTTCAAATTCAAGGTAATTCAACTTTTGTATGAACCCGCATGGAATTGTTTTCTCAATTGAAAACATGCAAGTTCGAAACTTTCGCGAACGTTTACCGGCGGTGGCCGACAGTTTTTAGTAGGACCCCATACGGAACAATTGTGCGATGCGAGGGTATTAATTTTGTTCAGTTATTTACGCCGTATGATGCATGAAAAGCAATGTGAAGTCAGATAATTTATGCCAATTGCACGAGGAGAATTCGTAACTTGGTGTTTCTAAATTGTATACGCTTTGAAGTGTTCTCATCGACGCTTGGCGAAGTTAACGTTTAACTCGCGTTTATCGCTTGCAAAGAAGTTAAACAGTATAACAAATTCAGTATTACTAACATGTGATCTGAGTTTATTACTGTAGGCCTATATCTACTTTGGAAGCGGCTCTAGTTATAACTTCAGAACGCCAGATAAGGATTGCAGGCAATCGTTGTTGAACATAAATCACTTCCGGGTATATTTTAAAGACACAAACATTTATAATACAGACAAAATCACAGTCCATAAGGAGAAAAAAGTGTGATTTCAGATTCAGTTGCAGACCGCAAATGTCACACCGATATAATTTTCAATATAGAAAAGAACACGTTTGTTGCTCAGTTAGGATATATTAAATAATTATGTATTATTTAACTTGCATTGCTGTCAATACTGGAAGATGCGTCTAATATTGGTAATCTACAACGAAATTCGAAATCCAGTACACTGGGTCAAAATACGATCAGTTGCAGAACAGTATAAAAAGAATTTTAAATTGGCAAAAAGATGGAAAAATCAAACGAGAGACAGAAATCCATGGCTGGATTTTGAAGAAGAGTTCCAATGTTGTAGGAATTCCGAAGAAGAGTCAGCGTTATTTTGAAGCCTTGTGAAATTTACTCTTTTCTTGGGATGTCTGATTTCCAATTCCTGGTCGTCCATGTAATTGAACGGTCAGGAATATGAAATCAGAGGTCTGCATGTACGAGGAAAACTGGCGTTCGTTTCTTATTAGAATAAAGGACATGTTTGATGTCTCTGTGACGCATTGAGCTCTCAGGAACATTGATGTTTACATCGTATATTTCATGTCTATCCATGCGCTTGACATAGAATATCTGATGTGGACATCTCACCACTTCAACCACGTTCACAACGACATTTGAGGAATGGACATCATCGCCAAGGATTAATCACTTATCCAAGAATCACGGTAGAAGCAAATGTTTAAATATCCAGGTTGTCCCAAAAAATGCATGTGTTCCACATTTTTGCCGACAGATAATTATCATTAAGCATCCAAAATTCAATCTTAGAGATGAATTTTGACACATGGTTATTAAAATTGGTCTAGTATAGAACTAATCTTGTGGCTGTTTAAGTCTGGTTCACCCAAATGCCCAATGTGGGACTATAGAAACCATGCATCAGTTGTGTTAAGTATTAATAGTTTGATGACCCTCCTGCATGCATGGATCAAATGAGGATGAGAGTTGATGAGACTTGGCAGTGACGCATTCTTACAAGGGACATCTCACGCTTTACATTAACAAAATAAAGGTTTGACGAGTGTTACAACTATGCTTCAATGGAATACATGATATAGTGTTGAGAAAGCGTTAAGAACAACTAACCGTCGCATGCACTCGCACCCTAGTTTGATCCGGGTTTCATTTTAACCAGCCAAAACATTGATCAATTTCAATAATATCATTACTGCATGGTTTACACAGATATTTTTGTGCATCCTGTATAATATAGGCAGCGTTTACACTGTACCGTTTTCGTAGCGTTCTCGTATTGTTCGAGAGAACTAGACTATTGTCTTGCGTTCCCTTGAGGATTAAGAACAATACGAGAACGCTACGAAAACGGTACAGTGTAAACGCTGCCATAGACACCATCTGCATCGGTCAAGCATGCACTTATAGTGACTTAGTTAATCATTCCCATGCATATAATTGCTTTTCCGATGCAGTCGAAATTTCGCTCGTCTACTACATAACAGATCCGTCCATACATAGTCATAGATGCTTGCATTCTTTGGAGTTTGGTGTAGTAATCCCAAGGGTGCGTAAACACAATAGAAAGGAATTTCATGCTTGGGAATGTATAACGTGGACAATTAGACTGTATTTTCAAATCCCAGGAGCAAAATAATCAATGCTAATTAGCAGGGGCTGTTATGCAAATTATATAGGGTGGCATTTTTTTGAGATACCCTACATACTGTGTCTGTGTCTGCACCTTTGTATCAACAGTACAAGTATTTGATCTTAAAACTGAGACTACAGCTGTAAATATCAGGCGACCAAGGAAATGAATTGTTAAAGATACGAGTTAGCTACCACGCCGAATAGGAGTTGGAATCCTTTACAGCGTATATCATCGTGGTAAAACATGGAATAATTACGTAATACATATCTTTCTTAAGATTGTAAGGTTGTCATAGTCAATTGTAAATCCAAGCGCGAACGGGAAGATCATTGGTACATGTATGCCTGTAGTTTTAATATTTTTAACTGTTTAAGTAGCCTGTGACCATAACTCCTTTTTGTTTTGGCGATTCCCAGGGGTATACATGCATGTATAATTTTCTGAGTCATACGACAACTCGCACAATAATCCACATGCATGCAAAAAGCTGTCCTATTATTTCTGTCAAGAAAATAGTGCTCCATCTATATCTGGATTATAGTCCTCAGAACGTACATAGGGTTACATTTTGGTACATCATGCGGTTCGTTTAAAGAGCTGCATTTATATTTACTTGTAATTATGCAAAATGTGGTAAGTGCTCACAACTTGCTAATTCCACGAGGCGATTTATAATACATTTCACCCTAACTGGCTATAAAATATTTCATTCTCATTAAACTCTTCGCGCTAAGATTGTGCAATTGCATGACTATATTGCTTGTGACAACCTTATTGTTTGCTTTTCTTGCGATTTTGCCAAATGAATGTTGACAAGAATCACCGTTTTGTTCATCTTTACGCAGAGCTTCCAGAGTTGAAAGCTTGTGGACTTCTGGATATTTTGGCAGATGTTATCATTGAGGTGCGGCTGTAAAAATAGTCCTGCATGCAAAAGTTACGGATTAGAATTTTAAATAACTTGAAAGGAGAAGCTTTGAAAAGGATTTTGAGAGCAAGAAGTTTTACGTTCATGATCCACAAGAAGAAGAAGAGTGGAAGTCAGCTATCTGGTCAATCTACTGAAGTCAAACTTTTCCCTGCCACCGTTAATTATTTAAGATAGTTGTGAAGCGTGGTCTCTCATGAAGTTATACTTCAGAAAATATTGAATGGTCGTAACTTATAATCATGGAGCTATAAAGCCCCTAATATGATAAGTTGATATCATATTACGGAGTATATATATATATATATATATATATATATATATATATATATATATATATATATATATATATATATATATATATATATATATATATATATATATATATATATATATATATAGCGGTATTTTGCGTGAAATTACAAATACGCAGGAAATTGTTAGTTTTTAGTGCAAAGTTGCTTTGCACTATTGTTATGAGAAAAATTCAATTCAGTGACCGATCAATGGATCGATAGAGTAAACAATCCGGGGGGAGCTTGGAAATGATTTTTTTATTACGTTTTCTAGAGCTTCGAGACGTTCGGCCAACTAATTGTTCATAGCTGCTTGTAGATTATAACAATATATTTATATTCATGATGGTACATGCATGTTCTTACTCATTTTATCCGACATTTAGAGAAGTTATAACCAGTATAACCAAGCTTTTGTCAAACTATTGGCATTTCTCACTTATGGCATTTCATTGATTAACTGTAAAATATTATAGTAGTGAGAAATATTTAGATGTCGGCCATAGTTCTGTTTGCATATTATAAAAGTCATTAGACAGCAAGTTCTGGAGCACGTTGCCAGCACGCAGTCGACTTGAACCAGTCCTGTTTTCTCGATGGCTTTCTAAATCTGGAAATGATTTCGAATGTCAGGTGACAACAATTTCTTCGGTTTATTTTGTTTTGTATTACAGTCAAAATACAAGAACCTTTCCGCTTCTGTAACTTGTCTTGTATTTCTGTAATTTGTTCTATTTTTCTGTAGCGAGTACCGCTTTATCGGCAAATATCGCGGTAGGGTCCGGTCGAATTTCGCTTTCCTTCCCTTATATATACGTCAATTTGTAGCAATGGATACACCTTTCGTTAGATTCTTTGCATAAAAGTTGCGATTATATATAGATGCATCAATCCTATTTCATACATTATGCGAATCAACATAAATCTTAATTATCATTTGTCATATCAACTTTGCACTATCCTTGGGATCTCTGAGTTGGATATTCTGCTCAAGCTCATACAATAATTGTTTGATACTTGTATTGTGTGCTTATACATAGAGTGGAGGATACGTTCTTGGTTTCCGTATTGATCCTGCTGAAAAATTGCAAGATGCTGTTAAAGAGATTCAGAGTCTTCAACGGGTATGTTTTATTAATGCGATAAGATTTTTCAGTGTATTTTGCTGGAGGCAGGAAGGGGCGTCAAAACCTAGCAGAAAATATTTGAATAATACGCTCAAAGTGGGCCGTACTTTATATCTATACCTTTGTCAATGGTAGCTATTGCTAAATGAAATTATCTCTTTATTCCAATTTAGAAGCTTGACCAAAGTGTATATATACTTGCAGACGATTAAAATTAACGCAAACGTTTAAAATTGGTTAGAGCGCTGCACCATGCAGAATCGCAAGATCACAGGTTCGATTCCACTACAGAGGAATCGAATCTGTGATCCAGAGGTTCGATTCCACCCAGATTCCTGCGATCCAGAAGTTCGATTCGACCCAGATTCGTAGGTTGGATTTCACCCAGAGGGCCTATATAGTGGCATTTCACACAACTGCTCCTCGTTAGCTCTAATAAATGTTAACATTTACACTCGAAATTACCGTCTACAAAATCATTCAAGATTCCCAAAATCCAGACTGAAATTTAAAAACCAATTTAAGGCTAAATCTTTTAACAGTTTATTTAAAGTGCATATGACATGATTTTTTTATTTTCTTAAATGAAAGAACTCTTTATGCTGTAGAGTAACTTATTTTTCAGTTTCTTGTTTTTATGGTTTGTTCCCGAGATATTTCAATTTGTTTGATATGTAAATGAGTGTGAATATGTCCGCTAATTTATGACGTCACGTTGGTTGCAAGCTCTTCAAAATGGTTGCATATTACGGCCATCATCCAAGATAATAATTCCTAACTTCACTCACTGGTAAATGTGATAAAATACTGGAGAAAAACGTGAGCTGATATCTACAGTTTTTAGAGTGAATAGACTTATAACATGCAGTGTAAATTGAGCTTGCAACCAACGTGACGTCATAAATTAGCGGACATATTCACACTCATTTACATACCAAGTAAATTGAAATATCTCGGGAGCAAACCATGAAAACAAGAAACTTAAAAATAAGTTACACTACAGCTTAATTTAAATTAAAGAGTTCTTTCATTTAAGAAAATTAAAAAATTCCTGTCATATGCACTTTAAAGTGAATCTAAATTGATTGCACTTTTTTTCTGCATGGAATTTTGTTCCTAAAGTTTGCACTCGAGTATACTGACCAAACTGATATAGTAATAGTATAAACATTAACAATGTTTTATTAATTTTACGCAAAATGTTTAAAGCATGATTATACTTGAGTTATTACAAGATCAAATTACCTAGATATAACAACAACTTCAACATTTCTAGCGATGTCCCTGCATCATAATAATTTATTAATTCTGCAATTGTATCTTAAGGTTTATAGCGCTAGTCCTATATTTGGAGTAGAGTTTGAGGCAGAAGAAAGGGTATGTTACTGTTTTCCGGTTTTTCTCAATCTAAATCACGTTTTACGTACCGTTGTAAATTGTCAACCAATTAACAGCGTTTGATCAAGAGTGTATGTAATTTCAACATAATTATTTGCCCCCTCTTCCGCTCCCATTTTGGAATAGCGAGTATCCTTCCCTATCATATATAGAGGTAGGTTGAAATAATAAGGTAATATAATAATGCTGAGTATATAGTGAAACTTTCTTTATCTCATTTTTTTAGTCATGTTCTTCTCCAAGCCCCGACTTTACCCCGCCCAATAGCAGTAGGAAGGAGGTCGCAAATTATAAATATAGAGTAGTACACCCCGCGTTTTTAGAAGTGTTGCGAATCCTCTTTGATTAGGGCATGGCGAATCCTCTTTGATTAGGGCATGGCTGCTCGATGATGAATTTGTATAATCCCGATTGTCGTGAGAAGTAAATCTTCTATTATCGTCTTCGGCTGCGCAATCGTCAGGGCAATTCTTTTACTTCTGAAATCGTAGGTTTGATTCTCGTTCCGGACAGACCAACTCAAGACTTTCATGTGAAAAGAGTCAGTCAACCCTCTGCCGAAAGTCGTGGGTTTTCTCCGGGTTCTCTGTGTTCCTTCCACAGAAAGTGTTGACAGGTTGGGTTGGGATAAACCTCCTAACTGACCCTTCCATGACTGTGCTGCTTGATGATGAGCCATAAGCGTGGTATCCGGAGGCCCTTAAAATGCCTTCGACTTGATCAGCTTGAGCTGCGTCTTTCGCAATATAGCTTAGCTCTCAGTATATGGGATGATTATCACACTCCCACTTACCTACTTAGTACTTACTTATATTCCATATTAACACCAACAACTTTCACTGAAACTATTTGAACGTATAGCGATATATATTCTTAACCTTTGATTACTTTGCACTACCGACAATCCAAAACAAAACGTTCCACACCTCATATTTTTCACAGGGACCTATATTGGAAAACTAGGACCACCAAAGAGAAACTAATATTCTTCTGCAATTGCTTTCAGCCGAATACTTTACAAGAAACAACAGTTGATCCAGTACATGATGATATTGAGATTACCAGTGAAGGCGAAGGGACTGATGCTTTTGCAGTAAGTGTCGTCATAGAGACTGGGTCAGGATATATATTGGTTCTGTATATATACCATATATACACAATAAAATCAAACATTTGGTCCTGGATTAAAAACTAAACTTTATTTATACTATATATAGCTCCATCCGTTATACTGTATAAATTGTTCTCCATCGAAATTTGGGTCCTACAAGGGTATAGAGTTGGAAAGTCATAAAAGGAAAATACCCTAAGAGACTTAGACATGAGTGTGAGGTAGAATCAAACTGGTAGCATTCCAATTCTATTTGTATCGTTCATGTGAAAAAACATTATGTTTATTTCCTAAAGCAATCGTTCCTTTACCCCTCTCCTGATCAGTTTAACTGCAGGACTTACGAACGCTTTGTGAAATAAATAAACCAGCAAAACAATTAGATTATGATCACCATAATACGCGAGGAATTGATGATAAATTAGGGATCTTTTCACATAATACTGCTTATAGAATTACAATTACACCGCAGTTCAATTAGGTATAGAGCGTTTTGCGCTCATTCCCCAGAGACCAACTCAACTATACAAAAGCCATGGCGACCATGTTGGTGTTCCAGAGAAAAGGGTCTAATTGAAATTCTTTTGAATTGGAACACCAACATGGCGGCGGTGACGTCATGTGCAAACGCTCTATAGACAAAGAATATTCCCTTTATTTTGTTTGCTATTATTGATTGAATATTTGTCTTTCGTTTTCTTAGGCATATTTTGCGGACGGAGACAAGGTAAGTTTCTTCAGGACTGGGAGTTATACCGGTATTTTTCCAATTATTCTGAAGACCAATTGCTGATGCTGGTGCAACTCGATAAAAGTGCGAGTTTCCGCTATTCCTTCGGAAAATTATGACTTAAATGAGAGTAAAGCTTTTTTGAAAATATCAAAAGTTCTACACATTTATTAATAAAAATTTGAAAAATATGTAGATAAAGATTTTGATGGTTTCTATTGGAAGAAATCTTGACACCTGGAAAATCGCATTAAAATTCTTCTAACTTTTTCTTTCTAATTTTGAATTTCTAGGCCGGGGTTATACGGTTGATTCATTTTATATAAATCTACTTTGTTTCTGCTGTTATGCACTCAGATGCCTACTCCGAATTGGTCAAATTAAAAAGGACCAAGTTTGAAAAGTAATAAAATAAATGGAAAAATCAACTATACTGCATGAAGAAAGAAAGCATCCCAAAAACCACAAGGTGTGACCACATTTGCAGTGCTGGAATATGTCTAGTGCTTTTGCTTGGGGTCTACGACGTTGGCTAAAAAATGTTCGGCATGCAGTTTATATTTTGCACCCACTTTGTCTTGTAACCAGGCCTGATTCAAGACGGCGGCCTCCAGTTGCTACAAATTAAATTATGTTTGTGATGTTGTCTCTGAGTGTGTCCACACCTACCAGCTGAAACGTTTCAGGAACAAAATATTCAAGATCGTAAAAGTATACTGATATCGAAGGAGCCAAACACAGTTCCGTAATATCACCCACTCGAACGACTTGACCCCCTAGCTCAGTTGGTGTAGAGCATTGGACTAGCAAACCAAAGGTCGTGGATTCGATTGGGATGCTTTCTGCGATCAGTAGTTGATTTTTTCCTTTATTTTGTTACTTTTCAAACTTGGTCCTTGTACATTCGTCAAATTCGCAGATGGCAATAGACAATTACCATTAGAGACTAATTTTAAAATTAGGCAAGGAGATGCAAATAAATCACCACAGCTTGAAAGCATACTAAAATTAGTAAAATTACAAAGTTTGGTTGCGAAATGTTGTAAAATGCGGAAAATATAGCCTTGCAAAGTTCGCAAATTTTGTATAATACTTTTGTATTGCGTGCGGAAATTCCTACCACATTCTGGCTGAAAATGGTAGCAATTTCCACACGCAATACAAAAGTATACAAAATTTGCGAAATTTGTAAGGCTATATTTTCCGCGTTTTACAATTACATCTCGCAACCAAATTTTGCATTTTTACTAATTTTAGTATGCTTTTTCTATAGCTATGGTGATTTATTTGCATCTCCTTGCCTGGTTTTAAAGTAAGTTTATAATGGGAATAATATTAAAAACTATTTTGCTGATGTTCATGACTGTGTTTTTGTTCGTTAGTCGAAAGACCGAGAACCTGTCTACAACCCCGAGCTTGGTTTGGCAATAGAGAAGCTGAAAGATGGATTTACATTGCAAGGTCTTTGGGAGGTTATGCCAAACTGAATTGTTTATCTTTTACCACTAAACAATCTATCTGTAAAATATAAACAAAGTAAAAACGTTATTGTAAAAAGATAATATATGCAATATTTATTCAGTTTACTCATTTATATTATGAAGTGAGTTCATTTTCCTATACCAGTATACAGTATATAGTATATAGTTGCAACTTCACAGCAAATATCTGGATTATTGCTAAGATCTGCTGATAATTTGACACTTTATCCCTGCAGAACCGATAGGTTTAAAAGATCGTTTTTTCCTGATTCTACTAGGTTATGCATGGAACGCTCTTGACAACGTTATAAGAGACTCAGACTCATTAAACACTTTCAAGAATCGTCTAAAGAATTTTTTTGATATTTCAAATTATAAAAAACGTTTTAGTTTTACTCTTGATCGATACAGCTCAATTTTACATACTCGGCTCCGTTTAAACTGCTATGCTCTTAATTATTATTTATTTAAAATAAGCTGCATTCCGTCCCCAGTTTGTAAATGCGGTTTTCATTGTGAATCTGTAATTCATTATTTTCTGTATTGTCCAAGATATGCTGCTCCTGGATTTATTGTGATCTCAGCTGTATTAGAAAATTTAGGTGACAGCTGGTATAAGAAATCAGACTCGACGAAAGTACGAATACTTCTAAGTGGTGAAGATGAATTGTCATTAGCTCAAAATAGATACATTTTTTCCAGTGTGCAATTGCAACAGTTTATTAGGCAATCCAGACGTTTTGTTGGCTATGTTTATGTAGATGAATGTGATGAAATAATCCAGCTGTCTCCTGACTGATGTTATTTAAATACAGATGTAAATAGGCGTAAGCCCCCTTGATGACCTTATTAGCTCTTGGGGCAAACGTTTCTCAAAATATGTTTAAACAAAAAAAATTTTAAAAATAAGTTCCTGTAGAGGTCCAGTAAGATTATCTCTTATGATCCAATGTACAGTAACTACAAGTCTTAGAGGAAACTTAAACTAATCTAAGTTTATTTGTACTGCATAGCTCTATCTAAACTGTTTTCGCTATGTATAGAGGTCCAGTATAAGAGTCATCTCTTGATCCAGTGTAAACTACAAGAGGAAAGTTAAGCTAATGTAACTTTATACTGCCTGCATGCAGAATAGTATACTATTTCTCGACACTCGCATTCATGCTCAGTTTGATAAGGTATAGCAATATTGATCAGCGTCCTAAGCCAAGCTGAAAGCTTGGCTTAGAATTGCAGCGCACGACTCACCCGAATTTTTGGGTGGGTGGGTCGTTTGCTCAGTTTGATAAGGTATGGCAATATTGATCAGCGTCACTGCCTAACCTGATATCTCCTGTTCGTGTGGGCAGTCTTTATACCATCCCTGCACCTAACTACA